CTACATATGTGTGGATGTTTGCATCTAACAGCAAGAATATTTTATTCATAGGTGTTTGTGTATAGCATTTGTTTTGTTCACATCCATTAAAATTTTAACACCAAAATTACCTCCTGCTACTCTAAATAGTAGTCAGGGGTTAACTCTCTTACTGGAAAGATTTTGTACACCTCCTCACTTAAAAACTCCTTCAACAGCCATTAGTCAACCATTCAGTTTTAGAATTCATAGTCACCTCTAATTTTGGTGCAGATTTCTTGTCAGTTGGATTGTCCTTCTCTTTTATTAAACACATCCCTGTATTTGTTGGCTGTTTCCTCAATTCAGGTTTATCTTAAAATTCAAGAATTGCCATCATTGATGAATATATGGAGTAAGCATCAAGTTCTGTAGCTATTTCCTCAATAATAGTCCTGAAAAATCTCTTGTAAAATGGCAGTGTCACTGGCATTAGGATATAAATTTCTACAGTTATTTTGAAACTTGTTGGGGTCATTGGTTCCTAGGAGAATATGATGGAAATTATCTCCTCCCAGAAAAGGTGAACTTATGAATATAGGCACTTACTTTGCATCTCATTTCAAAAGAGTTCATAGATCCTTAAGAGTATATTCAGAGGTTCCCTTAGGTTAAGAACTTTTGTTCTAAGGAGACTTCTTCAAAAGAGATAGCTTTTATTTTGATTTATAATTTAGATATGTTTGTTAAAAATTGAATAGTCTTATCATTCATCATCACAGCTTAAATATATACATGAACTATTCTGTATAGATAGGTGTAATTGACTACATTAAAAAAGACCTCCTTTTTAGAATTTCTGTTTTATGTGTTTCATTTTAATCTATTTTAAATATTCTTTTAAACCATTTTCAACTTTCTAAATGAGATTTTTTAATTTATGAAAGAATTTCTTTTTTATTCTTGTTAATCTTAAAAAATAATCTCTCTTAGGCCTTTGGCTTGAATATTTGATTTAATATTTGCATTTGAAAAGTATTCTCTAATAGGACATTAACCTTAAAGATTTTGAAAGTCAGAATCTACATATAAATTTAATTCCACTTCTCTGCTACTAAAATAACATTGACTGAATCTCAGAATTAGGTGATAACTTTTACATTTTTGAACATTACCAAGTGATAATTTTTGGAATGAAATGAAATTTGAATCCAAGGGAGTGCAAAATTTAGTATACACAACTAAATTTTTCATGGAAGTTTATAGAACCTACATATAAATAGTAAGTTCCTTTAGTGATCATTTATACTTGATTTATTTTCTCCCTTATTGTGAAAAGTAATTATATGTACACATGCATGTGTATATACACATATACACATATATGTATGTACATATGTATATATGTCCATATGTACATACAAATAGATAAACACACATGCACATATATATACAGCACAGCTTATATCACCTCTTAAGCAGAAAATCTCCATTGTCCTTTCAAACTCATAACCAAGAATAATGTAATAGAATCTGTGATTTAAAACATTGAGGATCAAATTCCAGTCCTGTTTAAAGTTCCCGAGACTTGTTATATGTGGAGGCTGTCATGAATTTATACTTTTTATCCTGTTTTATTTCTGTATTCAGAGGTGGAACCATTTCTAGAGAAGAGGGGCACATGCAAGACTAAATGTACTTGTGGGTTTGGTGATAGGTCGTGTTGATAGGAAATAATTTTCATCACATAAAGACGTGTGTCATGGCAGGATGGCATAGAGCAGGATCTCTATGATTGGAGCAGATGGGTAAAGGAGAATCCTGGAGGCCTTGGTGGCTTTTTCAGGCTTTTATTGTCATTTTTCCAGATACATGACAGGCAGGGGTGTGGGGGGACTGGAGGCTGGCAGGCCTCCCAGCCCCCAGCAAGATTTTACTCTTTCTGGGCTCTCTACTGTTTTCTCGTGGCTTCTGTTTCTCTGCTGGTTCTCTTCCTGGTTCCTCGCTTGTTCCCTTCTGCTGGTTCTGCTCCGCGATGCCACCCCTGTAAGCCCCATCTCAGCCCAGGTGTACCCACCACACATGCCCACATCCCACTCCAGGTGCACGCCATCAGGCATGCATTTAGGACCGCAGGGATCCATCATCAACCCCAATGGTGGGAGAGCCGAAAAGCCTGATACTTTACTTAGCCTACAATGTGCTATCTGTGTACACATAATATATTCAAATATATTTCAAGAATGCCTAGTATCCATATATTTTATTCCTAAAATCAGAACACATTCATTGACTTGGTAATATGTTATAGATTATTTGGTAGCATTATTTTCTTGTCCTACACAAAATGGTACAAATAACAATTGATGATGGTGTCTGTGATTCACTGAAATTCATTAAATAGGTTACAGCACATAAAACATAAGGTGCTTTAACAATGTTAAAGCAAGTCCACAGAGAAATTGAAATTAAAGGGTCAATTATTTTCTGAAACACAGATTTTGGTGTCAAAGCAAATACAAATCACTGATTAAATTTTCAAATACATTCACTCATCTTATGCGATCCATTGGACCATAACATTGTAAATCAGTGAAGTCACAGATTAAAAGACTTTCTTATGTCATATTTACTGCATGAAACATAATGTTCATGCAAATGTAGGGTAAATGAAGATTGCTCAGGCTTTTGTGCCTTTGATGTCTGTGGCTATCATCTGCAGCCTTGAATGCAGGAGGCATTTGGGAGCATGGGCTTGGAATACGCATGCCTGATGGGGGACACCTGGAGAATAGTGTGGACATGCATAATAGGGCACACCTGAGCCAAGAGACTGAGCCTATAAGGGCAGCGTCGCAGAGGACCGTGCAGTGTAGTGTGGTGGAGAGCGGCTGAGAGCAGCCCAGAGACTACTCAGTGCAAGCCCAGAGAGAGTGAAGGTTTGCTGGGAGCTAGGAGGCCTACCAGCCTCCTGCACCCCCCCGAACCCCCTGCCTGCCCTGCACCACTACAAATGGTATAGAAAAACCATAAAAACCTGAAAAAGCCACTGAGGCTCCGGGACTCTCCGTTGCCTGCTCTGCCCTACTGCCTGCCTGCACTACAGTAAGTTAGAAAGCATAATGAAATATTAAATACAAATGAATGAATTCCAACTACATGTAAACCTTGGATGTTAAAATATTAATGGTAAAGGAAATGTGTGTTTCATAAAACTATATAGTGAATGATGTGATAGTCTACAAACAGATAAAAGGAAAACACTTTCAAAATTAAAATTTAGCTTGGTACTTATAGTATCTTTTCAGTCATTGCTCATTTTAACTGTTAATATGGAAAATAGATTTTTTTAAAAGATTTATTTATTTATACAAGCACTCGGTACAGTCAGAAGCAAGGGAGGGTGAGAGAATTCACTAGAGTCAGAGTGCGGAACAGAGCAGGCAGAAGGACCGAGGTACACTGCTGAGGGGAGCAGTGGGTGGCAGGAGAGGTCTGCGAGCCATGTGGGACCCTCACCTGGAGGCCGGGGATCGAACCGGCACTGCAGAGGCTGCGGGCAGCTTGGCAGCCCAGCGCTCAACCACTGTGCCACTGGGGAGGCCCTGGAAAAAAGACTTTTTAACCCACATGCTGTATCCAAAATAAAAAAGACATATTTTCAAGGTAGTTGGTTCAAAACAATTTGACTTGAGTGTGATAACAGTTTAGAAATGTGTCTATGCTCAGTTTTGCTTCCAAATTTGGGTCCCTAAACTTATTGTCAGTCTCAGAAAGAAATAAGAAGCTGTGCAGATAATTAAACATTTGCCTTGGGGGAATTATTTGCAGTTAATTAAAACCATACACTTTTGGTTTATACTTGCTTCACTGGTTATTAAATTTGAATCATATGTTAACTACCCAGGTTTCTCACTTGTCCATCAAATGTTGCTGATGGCAGGTTCCAGAAACAAACTTTCTTGTAATTTTCCAAACCATATTGTTTAAAATTATCACTCAGATTAGAGAGGGAAGAGGGAGAGGGAAACAAAAATTTACTTTAAACTCTATCCGATTCAGCTGGTAGGGACTTAAAATTCAATTCAGCAGAGTCCATGTGTACGTGATGGAGGTGTCATACAATTCTCACCTTGCTGCATGGCTACAAGGTTACAAGGTCAATTCTTGGCTTTAGGTATCTTTGGATTGTCACCCTTTTAGTAGAATGAAAAGTATCTACTGGATTGTAACCTCTATGAGGGCAAGAAATTTAGCATTTGGTTTACTATTGACTTCCCAGCACCAAGAACAGTATCTGGCATAACAAGTATTTGTGGAATGAGTAAGACCCATTTTCTCTTTTTACTTACCTACTTACTTGATCTTTCCAATAGTCTTTAGTGAGTTTTCATAGAGGATAAAAACATTCAATTCAGCTAGCTTCACAAGAGTTCATTGTCACTGGAATTGTTTTAGCCATGTTACTTCTTGCAAAGCATATATCATATTTAAAAAAAAAAAGATCAAGGTATGCTGATTCCACCTTTAAATGTGTTATATGAAGGAGTAAAATTGCATTCCCTTTTGCTATTGCTTTACTTGTAGATTCCCTGAGGAAGATGAACTTAATTACCTCTGGTTTGCAAAGTTCTACATCTGACTTTTTCAAGGATTCAATCCCCCATATCTGAACAACTACAGTAATGGAAGCATTAAGAATGTTAAAATTAGATATTCCTTTAATCTTCTCTATTTTGTCTTTCTTTCATATCCTTTTGCACAGTTCTTTCAAAACTTGCAGTGAGACACAAAGCCTGCTTAATATTTTCTTTCTTTGTTGCAAAAAGATATCCTAACCATTCTAAGCCAAATCTCTGTAAACTTTGTGCAGACACCTTTTGCAGTAATTGGAGAGGTGTTTGTTTATTGATAAACATGTTTGCTTCTTTTAATGCTATTTTAAGTACATAATGAATTCCTTCCCCCAAACATAGACCTATCATGAAAGCTGTTTTATTTCCCAGTTCAAAAGGCTGAGTACAGGCTTTGTTTTTTGTCAGATTCTCCAGAGGCTGATGATATTACAAAAGACAATGAAGTAACAGATCATTCTGTATGTGACCAAGATCATTCCAATGGTAAGTTGTCTGTTTCTTTTTCAGACTTTTATTATTTTTTTGTTGAAGAATATTACATTTAAGAAAATGCATTTTATTTTTTCTTGGAAAAAGTAGAATCTGATAATATTTCAATAAAGCTAAATACCATCTGATTGGTAGTTGTCACGTTTTAAAGGGACATGTGCTCTCCACAATTATTAATTATTTGTTATTTTTGTACCAACCTGCTTCACGTACTTTTGTTACCTACCTGAACCCTATAGGCATTGGACTTGTAAATACTGAAATGAAGGTATGATAGCAGTGAAAATAAGCATGAAACATACAGAGACTAGATCCAGGAGATTAAATCTACCTATTCTTAGAATGCCATGAAAAGAGAATAGAACAAACAGAAATGAAGTAATCCTTAGAAAAAAATCCTTATGTAAATTGTCCCTCCATCTAAAACATCACACTGCACATTATATTTACAGGCAAAGATAATGAAAACTCAAATGAGAATAGAAATCTACAAAGCCTCATAGAATTTCTGAGGAACAATAATAATGGAAGTGTTTTAAAGCCTGTAAGAAAGTCAAAGTCGGGTTACTAGCAAAATTACCAAAATCAGATTAGCCTTAGCCTTCTTCTACAACTCTAAATACCAGGAGAAAACAAAGTAATAAACCCAGAGCTCTAGAGGACATAGTTTCTACATTTAGTGGAGTTATTATTCATACATGAATTCAGGAGTAATATTTTCTCAGGAATACTAAAATTAAGGAAATATGCCACTCAAGTATCCTTTCAGAATAAATAGAAAGCTTGTGTAAAACAATAAATATAGATAGGAAGGGGAAATTCAAGATTGAGAAGGCACAGTAGGAAAGGACTATGTGGTAATAAACTGATTAAATGCATACAAATGTTGAAATAATTGTTTCAAAAATAGTTTAAAGTTATCACAAATGTTTTCTTTTATCTTTGAAAATTATAGTACAATTTTTAAAATGAGAAAGGAAACGAGGCTCTTCCTTTCTCGATGATGAAGTTCTAAATAATTTACAACATTACTTTGAAGACAGCTAGACAACTTGGACAAATTTTTTATAGTCTGTTGAGAGATATCAGAGTGCTAACAACTTCGTGAAAAGCTGTCAGGTTAGGTTCTGGGGGAAATAAATAATCAGAGATATTATCCCAGTATTTGGAAGTGTTTTCACTTTAGGACATTTGCTTATTCTGCAAAAGGTATCTGCAGTCCTATTGCTGAAAAGGGCAGGAGATGCTGGTAAACTCTCTGTTTTGTGTTGAAACCCCACAGGCATGTACCTTAGCAGTGGAATGAGACAGCAGTAGTGTAACTTTCTGAAAGACTGTGGCTAAACCTTAATCATTTTATTTTATTTATTATTTTTTTAAGAGGCATGTATTATTTATTTATTTTGTTTTGTTTTGTTTGTTTATACATGCACTGGGTACAGACAGAAGCGCGGGAGGGTGAGAGAATTCACCAGAGCCAGAGCAGGGAGCAGAGCAGGCAGAAGGACCGAAGTACACTGCTGAGGGGAGCAGCGGGCGGCAGGAGAGGTCTGAGCGCCATGTGGGACCCTCCTCTGGTGGCCAGGGAGCAGCCAGGGATCGAACCGGCGCTGCAGAGGCTGCGGGCAGCTTCGCAACCCAGCGCTCAACCGCTGTGCCACCGGGGAGGCCCAACCTTAATCATTCCCAAATTAAATTAAGACCAACCAGAAAACTAATTCCCCCAGCACCTGAGAAAAACTAATGTAAAATATTTACAAGATAGAAAGAGTGTTGCAGGTTTTAAACCATTTACATTAGAAATTTGTTAACAGAATGCCCAGCACTTATAAAAAAAGTAATGGAAAAAAAATGAGGAAATGAGATAACATGCAAAACAAATGAAGTTCATTTGGCCTGAAAATGTTAGAGATATAAACACAAAGCGTACAATCACTATGCTGACTATATCTAAGGAATAAATGAGAGATTGTAAATATAGCTGAGGATTAGAAAAGAAGTCTAGAAGTAAAAGGTGCCAAAAATGAAATGAAAAATTTCTATGAATTGATTTATAGGTTAACAACATATTCAACAAAGATAAGTATTATTGAGCTAGAAGTTATGTCAAAATACAGAAAATACAAAAGCAGTAGAGAGAAAATGAATGACACACAGAAAAAGGGAGCGATATAGCATCCAAAACAACAATGTCTACCACATATATAATTGCAATCTCAGATAGAGAGGAGAAAGACAATAAGGTGGAAGTACTATTTGAAGAAATACAAGGAAATTTCTTACAATGATAGAGGCTATTAGACCACATGTTCCAAAAATTCTTTAAAATCCAATCAAGTTAAATCTGATAGTGAAACTGTTGAAAGCCAGGGATAAACAACTTCTAAAAAATAATCTTCAAACAATTAGACTGGTAGCTGACATTTCAGTAGTAATGGAAATAAAAAGACAATACAACAGAATAGCTTCCAACCAAGAAGTCTAAACTCCGAGAAAATGCATGTTTCAAGAATAAAGATTAGGACTTAGAGCAACCATTACCTTTTAAACAACTGCAGTAGATACCCTAGTCTTAGTGACTGTTGCCTATCAACAACTACACCTCTCTCCCCTGTTTCTCCCTTTCCTCTTTTTCCCTCCCCCAACCACCATATCTATAACACACCAACAGCACCACAATAATAGTCAAGACACAGAGGACTGCATATGTGTTGGAGCAATTGCATTTAAAAGAGAACTAAGGGGCCTCCCTGGTGGCACAGCAGGCTGAGCACAGTGCTATGGAGCTGTCCGCAGCCTCTGCAGCATGGGTTTGATTCCCGGCTGGCCAGAGAGCTACCCACATGGCATAGCTGACCTCTCCTCACTCGCCCACTGCTCCCTTCAGCAGTGTATTTCAGTCAGTCTGCCTGTTCTGTTCCCCACTCTGTCTCTGGTGATCCTCTCACCACCCCCCACACCTCTGGCCTGTACCTCAGTTCTTGTATGCATAAATAAATAAATCTTTTAAAAATGAATAAAAGGAATTCAGATTAGAAAAGAAGTCAAATCATCACTATTTGTAGATGACATGAAAATATACATAAAAGTCCTAAAGACTGTATGTGTATGTCTTGTGTTTCTGTATGTTTTATGAGCATAGGTCATGGATGCCTTTGTTTTGACCAATCTTTTTGAGGGTTTTTGTATAGTGAACAATCTTGAGAAAACAGACCATCTCTCCCTCTGAAATTAAAAGCAGGCTCACTTACAGCATTGAAGATAGGAATAGACCTTCCCTCCAGATGGAAGAGCAGGCATGCTTAATGTAAATCATAAAAGATTTGAATTCCCTAAGCTCAAGAGTCCTCTGTAATGCAACCCAGTGAGTATGCAGGTATGATCTGATCACCTTGTGAAAACTGGGGCTTGGAGAACAGGCATGGTTACTGTGGCTACTGCCATTTGTTGCACTGTTCTCAACTCTGAGCCAAGAGAGTACTGCCTTCTGTCAGCATCCATGGAACTGTTGCTAACTGACTTGCTACTTTTCAAAAATGGAAAAATCTGGCCTGCTCAGTGCAGCAGTGGTTGAGCGCTGGGCTACGAAGCTGCCTGCAGCCTCTGCAGTGCCAGTTCAATCCCCGGCCACAGGCGAGGGTCCCACATGGTGCACAGACCTCTCCTGCCACGCCCACTGCTCCCCTCAGCAGTGTATTTCATCAGTCTGCCTGCTCTGTTCCCAGCTCTGGCTCTGGTGGATTCTCTCACCCTGCCATGCTTCTGACAGCATCCAGTGCTCGTATAAATTAAACAAACAAACAAACAAACAAATAAATAAATCTTTTAAAAAAAAAAACACAAAAATGGTAAAATCTCAGGTCCTAATTGATGCTTTAAAGGTGAGAAAATAGAGTGCCTGAGATGAAAATTACAGGTGATGAGAATGATAGTAGATTAGACAATGTGGAAGAAAGATTAGAGAATTTGGAACTATAGCATTAGGAAGAACCCAAGTGGAAACAGAATAAATGACTGAAGAAAATGAAAAGCACATCAGTGCAATATGGGACAACTTCAAGGGTGATCCCAACTGCAATATTCATGAGCTGGAATCTCTTAAGGTGGATATGAGGGGAGGATACAGAAAGAATATTTGAAGTAAAAATGACTGACAGTTTTTAGATATATGTGAAAACTATGAACTTACATATCTAAGAAATTCTTCTATAGCCTCAAGCACAGGAAATATGAACAAAATTATACTTAAGCAATCATAATCAACATCAGCAATGAAGAGAAAAATCCCAAAAATAAAAAGGTTAAATTACATACAAAAGAACAAAGGTATGTGAGCAAAATCTCCTTGGAAACTATAATTATAGGCTAAAACCAGGATTAATCTCACAAGCATAACATAAAACTAAAAGTACAAAATCAGATATGTGTATATATATGCATCTAAATGTATATGTACATATATATGACTTCATTTATATCAATTTTAAAAAGCAGGGGAAATAACCAATATTTACAAAGATATGTGGTAATATAAGAAAATGTACGTAATGAATATTATCACAGTAAGCAGTGATTAAATTTGGTGACTCGAGGAGGAGGTATTTCTGTGCTAGATACTTAGTTTAGGAATATACAGCTACGCCTTAGTCATTGTGGGTTCAGTTCCAAACCACTGCAAAGTTACTATCACAGTAATGTGAAGCATGCCGTTTTTTGGTTTGGTTTGGTTTGGTTTGGTTTCCCAGTGCTATAAATATATATTTACATAACACTACAGTCAATTTAGTCTACAATATGATTATATCTAAAAAAATATTTTAATACTTTAAAAATGTTCCTGTAAAAAAATGCTAACCATCAATTGAACCTTCAGTGAATTGTAGTCTTTTTCCTGGAAGGAGAGTTTTGCTTCCATGATGATAGATGCTGACTGGTCAAGGTGGTGTTTGCTGAAGGCTGAGGCAGCTGTGGCAATTTCTTAAAATAAGATAATT